TGGTTTGTGGACTTGAAGGTTTCCATTCGTGTGAAGGTTGACTTGAAATGCCACTTGTAGCTTTATATGTCAAAATGTGTATATTTGATTCTAATCTTGTAAAGTGCACATAATTATACTCTTTCCAATATATTTGATATGTATGACAAGAGGCCAAGGGCTAAGCATGTTTAAATTTAGTACTTGTACTCATTTGGCACCACATTCTAATTGAGGATGTATTTTTATCAACTTTGGAAGTTTGGCATGTCAAATTTTGTAAATGTTGTGTAATGAGGCCCTGGGCCATTGTAACATGTTTCTTTATATAAAGTACACTTGCGAGCATGGTTTTATTGCAATAAAACTTTGTTTTTGGACCATATTCACATTGGGATTTGAGGCTTGGGTGAAGTCTCAACAAATCATGTGCTTAGTAGGTCATCCAGTAGCTTTTCAAGGAGTTTCGGTCGACCGAAACTCCAATTCGGTCGACCGATGCCTCATTTTGGTCTATCGAACCAACCAAGCCTTAAAACCATATTTTCAGAAAGTATTCTGTGAGTTTCAGTCGACTGAAACTCTATTTCGGTTGACCGAAATAGCCCTCATTTGCGCAGCTCTTTAGTTTAGTTTCAACATTGTTGTTTCTACTTCAAATAGCCATAAATTCTTCATTTCTAACCCAAATGGGGTGATTCTTGAGCCTAAATTCATGAATTTTGAGTCAGATTTCCAATGGTATCAATTCCATTCTCAGATTCAAATCACAGTGAGAGTTATTCATGTTTTAGTGAGAGGGTGTTAGTTTTTGCTTAAACCGGGAAGGGGCATTTTTGTGGGATTCTTGTCCATGTTCTTAGAACCTCTTGGAATATTGTGAAATGATTAAATTAGGTTGTATTCACCTTGTTTGACTTGTTTAGAGTCAAGTTCCTCATTTTAATTGTGAATTGACCATTTTATCCCTTGGTTCACGGATTTGCCAGTTTTGACCCTTGTTTCCGCTTTCGTTCTCTTTGAGTTCCGTGACCTCATGGAAGGTTACATTGGTGTCTTAGAGATGTTTTATGTCTCTAAATACTTTGGTTTATCTTTTACTTCTGCATTTCGGATCCGTTATTTGATCAACTTTCAGTTCATCACTGACACGGGTTGAAAAACTTGGGCCGTCACAAAGGCTTTATATCTTTTTCGTCCAAACTCTAAAGCCGGTGATTCTTGAGTCTAGCTTCATTCATTTTTCATTATCTTTCCAATGGTATGCACGTGGGCATCCATTTCAGTTTGAAATGACCATTTTACCCTTGGTTCATTTCTTCTCGAGTTGAAATCCTTGATTCATTATTTGACTCATTTGAGTTTCGTGGCTTTATAGGCAGTCATTTTGGTGCCTTAAGGATGACGTACATCTCTAGTGGCCATTTTTCATCTTTTGCTTCTGCAATTCGGATCCGTTATCGGGTCATCTTTTGGTCATCACTGACGCACAGGGTTTACAAAACTTGGGCCGTCACAAGTGGTATCAGAGTTCCTAGGTTTGAATACCTTAGGATGATAGGTTTTGAGTGCATATCATGCTTTTGTTGATCTACTTTGATATATTCACATGCCTTTGATAACATGTTTTGGTATTGTAACATGTTTATGTGTTTCTTGATAACACGTTTGATATTATGACATGTCTCTATGCTTATATGTTTATGTGCTTAGAAGCATCTTCGTTTAATATGTATGCTTATTTGTTTAAGTACTTAACTGTTTAAACAGCTTTCTTTGATTACTTAGCATGACCGTATGTTGTATACCTTGTTTTGCTTGTGTTTCATACATTTATAGTGTGAGTTGCATCCAGTCATAATAACTTGTGTTATTGTTGACCTTTTTCCTTTCGTATGCCTAGCATCATGGTTATCACGTGTGGAGAGTCTTCACAACAGGGTACTGAGGAACAGGTGGCTGTCACTGAGTTCACGAGGGGTTCGGGAAGGCCCAAGATTCCAGTTCGTGGCGTGGGTGCTAATCCACCGCGGGCACTGACTTATGAGGAACGAGTGGCTCAAGGGATCAACCAGGGGATTGCTGAATCCCTATAGGAATTGATATGCAGACAGGTGGTAGGGATACAGATTCCGGTACCGGCACCAACACTGATAGTCAATGAGGCAATGGTGTACTTTATGAGACTACTGAGGGTTAAGATTGATCCATTTACGGGGAGTTTAGATCCGCTAGTCTCAGAAGCTTAGTTGGACCTTATGGCTCGCAAGTTAGATAGTATGGTGGTACCGACGGACTAGTTGAGGATTTCTTTGACTGCCTCTATGTTCATGGGAGATGTAAATATCTAGTGGAGTTCTATGACCAATGTCCACAATGTTTAGTTGATGACTTGGAATGAGTTCAGAGATTTGTTCTTCGAGCACTTCTTTCCGAGGGCTATGAAGGGGGAGATGAGAATACAGTTCACAGGTCTTATCAGGGCACTATGAGTGTCACTAAGTTTGAGGACACGATTTACTTCTCTCTCTTGTTTTGCTGAGGACATGGTGGCGACAGATGAGGCCAGGGCAATGAAGTTTTAGGATGGGCTACATCTTGACATCAGGCTACAGGTCTCAATTCTTGATTTGAGGACTTACAGAGAGGTGGTCCAGAGGGCTATGTGAGCTGAGGTAAAGGAACAGGATCAGTCACGGATCAGAGGTTCACATAAGCAGCCTCGCGAAAATAATTAATCATCTTCTGGGAGTCAGTGGAAGAAGGCTTAGGCAGGGAAAATACTCACTCATAGGGGGCACCGCAACAGATTCATTCTGCACCCACAGTTCCTATATCTACGGGATCAACCCAGAGTGTATGCCTAAGGATTTGCCTTAACTGTTGTAGCATGTTGCATATGCTTGTCTGGTGTTAGCATGTTGAATATGCTTCTATATTTTAGCATAACTGTATGTTGCATACAATTCGTGCTTTTAGTATGTACTACTTGTTTCGTACATTCAAGGCGTAAGTTGCATTAGGTCTTAATGACTTGAGTTATTGTTGACCTTGTCCCTTATGTGTGTAGCACCATGGTTTTGACTTGCGAGGAGTCTTCTCGTTACGTTGGAGTGGATGAGCAGGTTACAGACACCGGGCTCGCACGGGGTCCAGGGAGGCCCAGGGCTCGACCTCGTGGCGTGGATCCTAATCCACCATGAGTGCCGACTTATGAGGAACAGATCGCACAGGGAGTGGCTCTGGGGATGTCAGAGTCCATTCAGCAGATGTTTTGCCAGCACATTGCAAGGATGCAGATTTTGGTACCGGCACCAGTTGATAATGAGGCATTGGACTACTTCATGAAGTTAGAGAGGGTTAAGGTCAACCAATTTGTAGGGAGTATGGATCTGCTTGCTTCAGAGGCATGGTTTAATCTTATGGTATGTAAGCTCGATAGTATGGCAGTATCTATAGACCGATTGAGGATCTCCTTAACAGCTTCTATGTTCATGGGAGATGCCGATATCTAGTGGAGGTCTATGACCAATATCCACGATATGGAGGTGATGACGTGGGAGGAGTTCAGAACATTATTCTTCGACTACTTCTTTCCAAGGGCTATGAGGCAGGACATGAGAGTGCAGTTCATAGGTCTCTATCAGGGCATAATGAGTGTCATTGAGTATGAGACACACTTCACTTCTCTTTCCCGTTATGCATTGGAGATGGTAGCTACTGATGAGCTCAGGGCGAAGAAGTTTCAAGATGGGTTACATCTTGATATTAGGCCACGGATTTCAGTGTTGGATTTGAGGACCTACGGGGAGGTAGTGCAGAAAGCTATGTTGGTTGAGGCAGAGGACCGAGATCAGTGTAGGATCAAGGGTTCATATAAGCAGTCTCGTGGAGAGGCTTCATCAGTATCTGTTGGGGATTAATGGAAAAAGGCTAAGGCCGGGGACAGTTCACGTACTTAGGGACAATCACAGCAGGCTTGGTCTGCACCTACAGTTCCTGTTTCCTCGAGGAAGTTGATTTATCACCACTGTCAGCAGCCGGGGCACATCAAGCCTCGCTGCCCACAATTGTAGCCTCAGGGCAGTTATTCCCAGACAGCTAAGTCTTCAGCTTTGACACAGGGGCTCTAGGGAGCTTGTCATTACTGCAAGCAACCCAGACATTTCAAAAGGGAGTGTCCACGCCTACTGGTGCGACCGAGCGTGTGCACAAAATAATGCACAACACTTTAGGTTTAGAAATAATGTCAAGTGAACACCATATTTTAAAATTTATAAAACAACTAAACACTTATACTATGGAGTATGAAGTGAACAGGGATCGTCCCAAGAAATCTAAACAATTATAGGTTTTTAGAATTGAATTCTACTTTAGTACCTATGTGACTGTTGAAAAGAGTTTTGTTTGTGATTAAAACTAATTTTAATGTAAATAATGCACATAAAGAATAGAGTTTAAAAGATTAGAAAGAGACTTAGGGTGTAGGATTCACCACTAAGTACATTCCCTAACTCACTCACTTTCAACTAATTGGGGAAATAATAATGTGTAATCTAAATGTGGCTAACAACTGCAATGAAAAGTGTAAACCATCAATTTCAAGCATGAATCAACTACTTAATGACAATTAAACTAAGTGTAGCGCAATTTACCAATTCAAAGTATGATTTATCAATTCAAGTTGCAATTTCAACACACATTAATCTAGAGGATAATGTAATTGTGACAATAAGTATGGATTTCAAACACAAGCATGGATTGTCTACTTACCTATGAATGAAAGTGCAATTAAACTAATTAAGCTTGAAATTAACTAAACTCAACAAGAATTTAACCTAATTAAATTAACTATGTCGTATAATCCATCTAGCAAAAGCAAATTCCATCAAATCAAAGCACAGTTACATCTAATTAACACAATGCATAGCCATCACAAGATTCAATTCACAAAGAAATCAAGTGTAGAGATTAATTATCAATCAAAAACATATAAGACAATATGAAGTTGACATAGATAATCAAATGAAAGAATTAATTTATATTTCAAGGTTATATAAAAATTACACAAATAATTCCCAAAAAGTGAAAAGAGAGAAAGTTTAGGTTACATGCTTAGGGTTTATCCAACCCTAAGTAGAAGAATCAGCCACTCATGATTGATGGAGTCGAAGACAGGAGAATCCCCATCATTTGCTTCATCTTCTCTGAGCTTTTCTTCCAAACCCTAGCCCGTTCTTCGTTTCTCCTCTTTCGCGTGTTTTCCAGAAAGAATATCGATATAACGATACAGACTAAAAAATAAAACTTAATTATCCAAATAATAATATTCACTAAAACTAATGAAAAACTAACCCTAAAAATAATGAGCTTGTTTCCCTTAAATAATAAACTCTATTAAAGCCCATAAGTTACAAAAAAATATAAGCCCAAAAGAAAAAATCCCGTAATGCTGCCAGGGGCTGGGGGATCGATCCCCCAGCCTTGGCGATCGATCCCCCAAGGGCATTTTTAGTTCTGTGAATAGTGGGGGATCGATCCCCCACTCTGGAGAATCGATCCCCCAGAGTTGGAATTTCATTTTACACCTTATTTAGCTCCATTTTGGCTCCGGGATAATTGATTTGCTTCTTCACCTTTGGGAACATAATCAAAGGCCCGAGAAAGATAGAATTGACCGCCTTTTAAAGAATAAGCATACTATACGAGCAATAGGCTGCGACCTCTTTTCGCCATTTTCTGAACTTTTTCTGAATGTCTTTATTTGACTCCAAAAAGACTTTAGTGGACCTAAATTAGTCCGTTTAAACCTTATTAACCTGAAATTAACAAAAACATAAATTAGAACTAAAACATGAAAACAAGATAGATGCAAGGACTAAAATACCCTAGTTTGGGTGCTAAAATGTGCAACATTTAAAGCACTTATCATGTCCCCAAACTTAGATATTGCTAGTCCGTAGCAATAACCTACAGTATATGAGAATGAAACAAACATATATACAACTATGAATTAATAAAGCAAATAAAGATAACACCACTTTTGTAGGGATCACGGTTACATTTAGCATATGCAACAAGCCTTTTAAACCCTTAAGTTACTCTTAGTGGACGAGTGAAGTCTCGTGAAGGTTTTCAGAAATGATACCCACAAATATCAACAGCTCTTTCTTACTTGAGAAAAAACGACACATATCAAACAAGTGTTGAAAGTAGACTACTTCAAGTATGCAAATTTCTGCCATTTCTAAGCTATTCTCAACATTGCAATATCATGCAAGTAAAAATGGTCCTCCAGACATCAATCAATTAATCATGCAAATTGAATCAATTCTATCATTCTTTTTAAGTGAACTGGCATCAAAATGTGTTGCTATCCTAACAAATCAAAGTAATGGCATAGCCTCACCCTCAAACTAGCATATAGATATTGTACCAGACATCAAGACATTGAATGAACCTTGTTATTCAATCAAACATTCCTTTTTAATTGATTTCATTTTATTATTATTATTATTATTATTTTTAATGTATGACCATATGCAATGTCCATGTTCCTTAAGCTCGCTAATCACCCCATGTAACAAGCGTTGAGCCAACGACTCCCAAACCAGATGGTCTTAGGGCGTTAAGTGTAAAGACACTCCTAAGAGCGTAATGACTCAGAATGGCTAGGTTACGAATTCAAACTAATCATACATCTTACATTCTTTCCTTGTCTTCCTTTTTAATCAGTTGACATGTTAAAAGAATGCAGTTTTTTTATTTTTTTTTTATTTTTTATTTTTTATCTTTGGTGAGTGCTTTTATTTCTTTTTTTTGCAAGGTCATTTTATCAAGAATGAAAGCTTTCAAAGCATACTAGCTCAATTGGGATAAATCAAGACAATAATCAACTAAGCATGTACCCTACAAATTGAATGATAGTGTGCGCAAGTGCAAATGTAGAATTCTAGAATCAACTCTCGAAGCATTTTTTAACAACAAGATGATGTGTACCACAAGAGCAAACATGATATCAAAAATTAAAAATATACCCCTAAATAGCATCCTAGAGCATACAAGAAGTATTAAACTCTAACAACTTGCTTTTCAAAGGCACTATGCCTCAAAAGTTCGAAATTATTGCCAAACACATCTCAAATCTCATCATGCATTTAAAACTCAACTTAAAATAGAATGAATCATAATGATTGAATATACTCCCAAACTTAAACTGTACATTGTTCTCAATGTGTAATGAGAACAATGAAAAATGATGGAAAGAGTATACCGTGATGGCAAAGACTATGAAATCCGGCAATGATCCAGTAGGAAAGACGTCTCCCCTAAACTTGGATGCAAAAACCTGTCTGTATAACCATTCTAGCAAACTCACATCAAATATCACATGGGATAAGTAATGCATACAGTCCAAAGCAATATATAACATGTTGCAAAGAGATAAGAAATGAAACCCTTTATAAAATATTAAAACATGTATATCCAATCATAAGGGTATACCGGTAACACATATTTTTAAATTTTTGTGAATTTTTTTTTATTTTTTATTTTTATTTTTAAAAGAAAAAAAGAAAAAAGAACATATATATACAACATATAAAATAAAAAAAATAAAAAAAAATAAATTAAGATTAACGACTAGTAAGACGGAATGTTACTGGGAATTTTTATTTTTTATTTTTTATCATCAATTTAGACTTTTAGAATTAGCAATTTAAATCCAAAATAAATCCTCACAAATTAAACCAAATTATGAACAACCCAGTTCAACCAAACTTTTTGCAATAACTTATTCTTGTTATTTTTTTTTGTTAAACGGATAAAAATTTTGTAATATATATATATATATATATATATATATATATATGGAAGAATTCTTTTCTTTTCTTTCACTCTGTCAAACTTGCAATCATTTTTCCCGGGATGACACAATAATGGAGAAGTGGATTATTCAAATGGAATATAAAGTGTCATTTTGTTCTTACTTTCTGTTCTCTTTTGAGTGGAATGATTCTCATTGTTTTTTTTTTTTTAAAAACTATTAGGTCGTGGATTTGCTACCAAAAGAATAAATCCTCAAACCGTCGGTGGAGAAAAACTCAGAACCATGGCCGGAATTTAACGCAGCTAACCGTCGGCGCAGCATGATCGGTTTCCTTTTTCATTACCCGTGACATCGGAAAAATAAAGGGCGAAGCAAAGGGCGCATGCTGTTTAAACGAAGCAAGGCCGAGTCTCAAATCGTGGCCTGAGGAAAACCCAGTCGGAATCGGAGAAGAAACCAGCGATTCACAAGCTCGCCGGAAGAACCCAGCCGGAATTAGAGAAGAACGAGCCGGAAAAATAAAGGGTTAATCACGATCCCGCCAGAAAGATAAAACCCAGCCGCGACGCCGAAGAAAAACCAGCCGCGAATCACTGGAGAAGAACCCAGAAATCGTTGCTGCTGTTTTTTTTTTTTATTTTGACCCACAAACTCGCCGGAGAAAGCCCAGTCAAAAACGCCGGAGAAACCCAGTTAAAACCGCCGGAAAGAAACAGTGATTCACACACTCGCCGGAATCGCTGGAGAAACACAGTCAAAATCGCCGGAAAGGAACTCAGCCGGCGCTGGAAAGACTAAACCAATCTTAACGTCGGAAGGAATAGCGAACAGCCGCGATCCGAAGAAAACCCAGCTGCGATCGTTGGAGAAAACCCAGATCCGACGTCGTTGAATGACCCAACCGCGACGCCGTTGAAATCCAGCCGTCGGTGCTACTGTTTTTCAGGAACGGCAACCCCACCCTTGTAATCGCACCCAACAACGTTTTACAAAGGAAAGCAAAGCTGCCGGAAGAGAAGAAGAAAGAACCGAGTCTCAAACCGGCGAAGTAAAGCAAAGGCCGAGAGCCATGGCGCCGGAATTGAATACCTTCGATGCCGCGGAAGAGAAGAGCGAACAGTGAGAGCGAACCAAGAAATTTAGATTGGAGGTGGGTAAGGTTTTCGCAGGGAAGGAGAAGAATTGGTGATGACGAATGAAGGAATTGGACCGATGAGGAAATTCGGAGGAAAAAAAAAAAAAATAAAAGATTGATGTATTTGGGGTTGAAGAGATTCTTGGGGAAAGGAAGAAAATTTTGTGACGAATGAAGGAATTGGACCGATGAGGAAATTCGGAGGAAAAAAAAAAAAAAAAAGATTGATGTATTTGAGGTTGAAGAGATTCTTGGGGAAAGAAAGAAAATTTTGTTTGGGCATGGAGGGTAGGGCAAGCTAAGGGCTCGGTCATCCTTAAGTGAGGGATCCTTAATTTTATGTCAAAAAAAAAAAAAAAAAAAAAAAAAAAACATTTTCTCTTCACTGTGTAATGTGAGAAAGTGGAAAGGGTTTGATCCCCATGATTGGGGATTGATCCACGTGAGCCCTTCTTTTGTTAGTCTGTGCCAAAGGATGGGAGTGATCTCTCATGGAATCAATTCTTTTCTTTTCTTTTCTTTTTAATTTTTTTTTTTTAAAAAATAAAACTAAAAAGAATATATAAATTAAAATGAAAAATTGATAAAAATAAAAATTAAAATAATAATAAATAAAATTAAAATAAAATCACTTACCAACTTATACTAACTAATACTTTTTTTTTTTTTTTTTTCCCTCATGGTGAGAAAGTGAAAAGGGTTTGATCCCCATGGTTGGGGGATTGATCTACATGAGCCCTTTTTTTGTTGCTCTATGCCAAAGTATGGGAGTGATCTCTCATGGAATCAATTCTTTTCTTTTCTTTTTTTTTTTAATTTTTTTTTTTAAAAACAAAACTAAAAAGAATATATAAACTAAAATGAAAAATTGATAAAAATAAAAATAAAAATAAAAATAATAATAAATAAAATTGAAATAAAATCACTTATCAACATATACTAACTGTACTTTTTTTTTTCTTTGTTTTTTTTTAAATTTAAGCAAAACTAAAAAGAATAATATATATACTAAAATAAAAGAAAATATATATAAAAAATAATAAATAGAAGTAAAATCAAATACTAACCTACACTACCCATTAATTATTATTTTTTTATTTTTTTTTATTTTGTTATTTATTTTTTTTTCCTTCTTTGTGAATTTAAAAATGCATAAATGTACAAAAGGAAAAAGAAAAAAAAATAAAATAAAACAAAATAAAATAAAATAAAATAATAATAAAATGTAAATTAACATGCCACGACGGAGAAATCGGTACAACTAGTATTTAACGTTGCTAGAAAGACGTGAGATACTCTCAATCTTCAAAGTAGATGGGATCCACTAAAAGAGCGGATTCCACATTTCTTTGAAGAGCTTGCATATCAATGAATGGTTTAAGCCTTTGACCATTAATTTTGAAGGTCCCTTTATCTTTCAAATTTTGAAGTTCAACCGCCCTATGAGGTGAGACGAAGATGATTAGATAAGAGCCTTCCCATTTGGTTCGAAGCTTTCTAGGGAAGAATTTGAGCCTAGAGTTGAATAACCAAGCCTTTTGATCGGCCTCAAAGGACTTTTTCACAATATGTTTATCATGAAATGCTTTTGTAGATTTTTGAACTATCATAGGCACCATTTCGCAATTCCTCTAGCTCATTGAGTTGAAGCAAACAGTCCATTCCAACCTTATCAAGATCAAAGTTAACCCTTTTTATTGCCTAAGTGCTTTGTGTTCTACCTCAACCGGAAGATGACAAGGCTTCCCATAAACAAGTCTATATGGAGACATGCCTATAGTCTTGTAAGCTGTCCGATAAGCCCACAAAGCATCATTCAATTTCCTTGACCAATCTTTTCGGGTCGGATTGACAGTTTTCTTTGATTTCCCTATTTGACACCTCGACTTGCCCACTTGTTTGGGGATGGTAGGAAGTGGCCACTTTATATGTGATAGATTATTTCAAGAAAAGTTACTTCAAGAATTGATTACAGAAATATTTTCCTCTATCACTTATCGTAGCCCTTGGCATACCAAAATGAGCAAAGACATTTGATTTGACAAATGCAATTACCACAGAGTGGTCATTCGTTTTGGTAGCACAAGCCTCAACCCACTATGACACATAATCAACGGCAACAACAATATATTGAAAGTTATAAGACATTGGAAATGGTCCTATAAAATCTATGCCCCATACATCGAAGATTTCAACTATGAAGACTGAAGTTAAAGGCATCATGTCCCTCTTTGACATTGATCCTAACTTTTGGCGCCGAGCACACACTTTGCAAAAGTTATAGGCATCTTGGTGGATAGTGGGCCAGAAAATCCCACTTTGAAGAACTTTCAAAATGATCTATTTTCCACTGAAATGCCCACCACAAGCAAGTGTGTGACAAAACACAAGGACGCTCAGAACTTCACTTTCTGGCATACATCTCCTTTTGATTTTATCTGGTAATAACGAAACAGAATGGGATCTTCCCAATAGTATTTCTAGATGTTAGCAAAGAATCGGTCATTTTCTTGTTTTGACCAAGTAATGGGAAGTTTGCCGGTTACAAGATAGTTAACAATGTCGGCGAACCAAGGCAACGTCCCATTTGAGATTTGAAAGAGTTGTTCATCCGGAAATGATTCATGAATTTCAAGATTTGTAGAAGATTCAACCATTAATCTAGACAGATGATCGGCAACGACATTGTCAAAGTCCTTTTTGTCCTTGATTTCAAAGTCAAATTCTTGAAGAAGTATGATCCATCTTATCAAGCGAGGTTTGGTTTCCTTTTTCATTAAAAGATGCCTAAGAGCGGCATGATCGGAAAACACAATTACCTTGGATCCTAAGAGATATGACCGAAATTTATCGAAGGCATATACTACGGCAAATAATTCTTTCTCAGTGGTAGAATAGTTCAATTGGGCACCCGAGAAAGTCTTACTCGCATAGTATATAGCACATGGTAGCTTACCAACCCTTTGCCCCAAAACAGCACCCATTGCGAAGTCGAAAGCATCACACATAATCTCAAATGGGACCAATTTGGAGATTGCATGATGGGAGTGGATGATAGAAAAGTGCGAAGTTGATGAAAAGCATTTAGGTATGCTTCATCAAAGACAAATGGAGTCTCCTTGGTAAGAAGGTTGCACAAGGGTCTAGCAATTTTGCTAAAGTCTTTGATGAACCGGCGATAAAAACTGGCATGTCCTAGAAAGGAGTAGATTTCTCTCACCCTAGTAGGTGGAGACAATTCAGAAATCAGCTCAACTTTCACTCTATCTACTTCTATTCCTCTTTTAGAAATGACATGTCCAAGCACGATTCCTTCTTGAACCATGAAATGGCTTTTTTCCCAACTTAACACAAGATTAGTCTCACGACATCTTTGAAGCACTTTTTTTTAGATTTTGGAGACACAAATCAAATGAGTACCCAAAAACCAAGAAGTCATCCATGAAGACTTCTAAATACTTTTCCACCATGTTCGAAAAATTTGACATCATACACCTTTAGAAAGTGGCAGGAGCATTGCACAATCTAAAAGGCATCCGTCGATAAGCAAATGTACCGAAAGGACATGTGAATGTGGTCTTTTCTTGATCCAATAGATCTAGGGCCACTTAATTGTACCCCGAGTAACCATCTAGGAAGCAATAGTATTATTACCCGGCCAATCTTTCCAACATTTGGTCAATGAAAGGCAATGGAAAATGGTCTTTCCTACTAGCAGAATTCAGCTTTCGGTAATCTATGCAAACATGACACGAAGTGGCGGTGCGTTTTGATATGGGATTACCCTTAGCAATTTCAACAACTGTGATTCCCGACTTTTTAGGAACCACTTGAGTTGGACTAACCCATTTGGAATCAGAGATAGGATATTTGATTCCCGCATCTAGAAGTTTCACAACCTCCTTCATGACAACTTCCTTCATATTTGGGTTCAATCTCCTTTGAGCATCCTTAAATGGCCTTTCATCCTCTTCCATGTGTATGCGATGCATACAAATAGAAGGGTCAATGCCTTTTAGCTCAGCCACACTCCATCCAATGGCTTCTTTGTTAGCTTTAAGCACTTCCAAAAGATCATTCTTTTGGTCATTTTCAAGATTTGAAGCAATGATGACCGGAAGAGTTTCTTTTGGGCCTAAGAAGGCATATTTGAGATTGGATGGAAGAGGCTTAAGCTCAAGGGTAGGAGGAGAGATGAGAGAAGGAACTGGTGGAGTACTAGAGAGTGAAGGAAGAGGTTCTTTCTTGCTTTTCCAAGGTGGAAAATCCAAAGTGGCCACAGAGTCCATCAAAGCATTCACCTCACTTATGGATTCTTCTGTGTCAAAACCACAACTTTCAAACATTTTACAAAGGCATGCCTTAAGAGGGTCCTTAGATAAAATAGAGGGAATAGTCTCCTCTATGGTTTCATCCAAAATATCCACTAGGAAACACTCGTCTTCATCTGTGGGATGTTGACTCGCATTGAAAACATTAAGCTTAACCATCATGTTGGCAAAAAAGATGTCTATAATGCGGGATCTACAATTAATGGTGGCATTTGCAGTGGCAAGAAATGGTCTTCCTAGGATAACCGAAATGTGATTAGTAAGATTAGGGACTGGGTCAGTATCAAGTACCACAAACTCAACCGGAAAATAAAATTTGTCAACCTTAATCAAGATATCCTCAACAATTCCCCTCGGTTTCTTAATTAATCTGTTGGCTAGTTGGATTACTACCGATATTTGCTTCAAGTCCCCTAATCCTAATTGCAAGTAAACTGAGTATGGAATGAGATTGATACTTGCAACTAAATCAAGAAGAGCTCTACAAATCTCTTGGTTTCCAATAACACAAGAAATGGTCGAAGCACCCGGATCCTTGAACTTAGGAGGAGTGTTAGACAAAATGATGGAACTCACTTGTTCCGTTAAAAGAACTTTCTTAGGGTCCCTTCCCTTGCTCTTCCTCTTTTGTGTGCACAAGTCCTTTAAGAACTTTACATATGGTGGAATTTGCCTAATTGTATCTAGAAGAGGAGAATTGATTTTCACTTATTTAAACACTTCCATCATATCATGAATTTTTCCTTCTTGACTCCCAAATGATAAAGTCTTTCTCAAAGCTTAAGGGAATGGAGCTTTTGGCTCATAAGGCTTCTCTAATTGGGGAGATGATGATGAAGATGATGGAATGTCCTTTTTGGAACCACTAACATCCAATGAAGTAGGAATAGGATTTGGAATGGGACGGATGCAACCACTTGGTTGTGCCAGTTCACTATCCTCCTTGGGTCCCTTTACCTTATTGTCCACTTTCCTACCACTCCTCAAAGTAGTAATTGCTTGAACTTGCTCATTTCCAGAAAATCCCGATGAAGGACTTGCTTGCGCCATAAATTGCCCCTTAGGATTGGTCTCAGTTTGACTAGGCAACTTACCTTTCTCTCTCACATTTAAAGAATTAGCTATTTGCCCAATTTGAGCTTCAAGCTTTACAATTGACTGAGAGTGAGAATTAAATAATTGATTATCTTTTCGAAGATTACCTAAGGCTTCTAAGACCTTGTCTTCAAAAGCGGGACTCTTAGGAGGCGCTTGATTTGGATTAGAGTAAGATTGAGGATTTGATGCTTGAGGATAAGAGTAT